TCCTCGCGGTGACGGCGGGCAACGGAGTTGGTCCACTATCCGGCTGAGTCCCTGGATTACGGCTTTCATGCCGTCATGGCAGGCACACGCAAGTGTATTATGATGCAGAGGGTCGGATCCTCAGTATCGGCGGCTGGTCAAGGTGAGAAAGCGGGCCCGCAGGCGTCGTCATCAAGCGACCGCAGCTCTGTAGAGGTGGGTACTTTGGCTTCTACAGGATATAAAGCTACAAAACTCAGAACAATCTCTAGTCTTTCTTCTAGTCAACCATCTACTCAATCATCTAGTCAATTATCTAATAAATCAAGTAGTGAATCTATTTCTAGTCAAGTAGTGCCTAGTCAAGTAACATCTAGTCAACATATTCATGTGGATAAGAAGAAATCAAATCAGTTTTGTTATGTCTGTAGTGCCTATCATTTCCCAAATTTCAGAAGAAAAATCACTAATACTGTTATTGACGCTTACAAATTTTGTTTTGGAATTAATGTAGCAAACTTTAACGATAACTGGNTAATAAATCAGGTAGTGAATCTATTTCTAGTCAAGTAGCGCCTAGTCAAGTAACATCTAGTCAACATATTCATGTGGATAAGAAGAAACCAAATCAGTTTTGTTATGTCTGTGGTGCCTATCATTTCCCGAATTTCAGGAGAAAAATCACTAATACTGTTATTGACGCTTACAAATTTTGTTTTGGAATTAATGTAGCGAACTTTAACGATAACTGGGTTCCAGATGTTGTGTGTGCAAATTGTTATAATATGTTACTTAAGTGCTATAATAACAAGGATCTTACAACTTTGACATATTGATCATTGTAAAATGGGACAGGCCTGAATCTATCAAAGAATGTTATTTCTGTATTACAGATATTCGCGTATTTAACAGCAGAAACAAACAAAATATAAAATATGCCAATACATGTAAAGTCGTTCCTGCTGTTAAAGCCTGGTCGTCAATAAAGTCTGGTCGTCCAAAGAAAAAAGATTTAGATACAGAACGCGAAGAGACGGAAGATATGGGAGGGGAAAATGAGTATGATACGGATTTTGAAAAATCGGAAAGTAGTGATAATGAATCTGAGGGATCAAGCATGAGTTACGATAAGAATAGAATTGAAAAAGGGTTACCAGAGATGTTCACTCAAGATGAAATTAGTGATTTTGGTAGAGAGTTGGGCCTGTCAAAGGAGGCACATGAACTGCTAGCATCAAGACTGAAGGAGAAAAATCTCGTAGAGAAAGGTGTCAAAATCACAGTATATAGAGACAGGGAGAAACATTTTAGATCCTTTTTCAGTCATGACAAATCACAAGATTTGGTGTATTGTAACAATATTCCCGGACTCATGAACATGATGAAAAAGAACATTTACAAACCAGACGAGTGGCGTTTATTCATTGATTCTTCGATTCGTAGCATCAAGGCAATATTATTGCATAACACAAATGTCCTGGCACCTATTCCAATAGCTCACTCTACAGTACTGACAGAAACGTATGATAATGTGAAAATTGTTCTTGAAAAAATACAGTACTCTCATCACCAGTGGCAAATTTGTGGAGACCTTAAAATTATAAATATAGTTTTAGGTATGCAGAGTGGAAACATAAAGTATCCATGTTTTTTATGCTCTTTTGATAGTAGAGATAAAAAGAAACATTACCGCACAAAAAATTGGCCAAAAGAGCAGCGCTAAAGCTTGGAACCTTTAACGTAGTTAAACCTCCAATTGTTGATGAAGGAAAAATTTTAATCCCGCCTCTGCATCTTAAGCTTGGTTTAATGAAGTAATACGTGAAAGCCCTGGACAAGACAGGAAACTGTTTTAAGTATATATCTCAAAAATTTCCAAAACTGAGTGAAGCCAAGTTGGAGGCAGGAGTTTTTGATGGTCCACAGATTCGAACTCTGTTCAAAAATTCTAATTTCACCTCTTCTATGAAAGCACACAGAAAGCTGCGTGGAATAGCTTTCACAAGGTCTTCACAAATTTTCTTGGAAATAACAAAACCCTGCATTACAAAAAATTGGTAAGTGAGATGGTAAAAAATTATCACACTCTGGGTTGCAACATGAGCGTAAAACTTCATTTTCTACATTCACATGTTGATTTCTTTCCAGATAAACTCGGAGACTGTAGTGAAGAACACGGAGAGAGGTGCCACCAGGACATGAAAGATATGGAGAAGAGATATCAAGGAATATGGGGTATCAATATAATGGCTGATTACTGTTGGAATTTGAAAAGAGACACAGTAACGAATGGTAAAAAACGTAAGCGTCAATCACTTCGAAGATCATTCGAAAGTAAACAAGTTCGATATCATAAGTGATCAAAAGGAGATCAGATATAGCTTTCTTCTTAAATGTTATTTCCATTTAATTTATTTATGTTCATTTTTCACAATACTTTATTTTTGTTATTCGTGTAAAGCAAGGGGAACATGCTCTAAAAAAGCACCCCAGGGGTTGTGGGGTTATGGGGTTTAAAATTCAAGGGGTAATAAGGGTTTTTGGTCTAAATTTTGAGGTTATGAAAAATCCTGATGTGATGGGGTTAAACGGACCTCGGATTCGGATTCAGAGACCTAGAAAACATATAGTAAACATAGCCAAACCTTATTATTCATTTTTTCAATTTTTTTTGTGGAGCTGTGTTATCTATGACTACATAATATGAAGCAGAATAATATAAAATACGTCGTAATATGAAACCAACCAGTAGATAAATAAACAAATACAATTAGAGAACACGTGTACGATTGATAAATAATAAACCAATGTCTGATTGTGAGAGTCGTATTTATCTTCTACATTTTGAATTTCTTTATTTTAAGAAAAATTTGTGTTAAATAACATTTTTTTGTTTTTCCTCAGCTCACAATAGCGTTTACATTGGTAAGAGCTGTCGATCGACTTGAATTGAAAGACTAGCTCTGAAAGAACCATCCTAACTATTGGAGCGATCGTTATTTGTTTTGACATAGATACGAATCGCTATTCATTTGTTTTGTATGTTGCCAGTTGTATAAAACCGCATTTATTTCGATTTATTGATAAAACCAATGTTGTCAGGTCACGACGGCACACTTCCGTCGACAGACCGCGACGATAAAATGAGCTCGACGACACCATGCCGTCGACAGACAGCAAAGTGATAAAAATGTCAACAAAAAAATATTTAATATATTGCAACATCGTTATGTAATTCTATAGATTGTATCAATTAGAAGAATCTGTCAAAATTTGAAGAAAATCGGATAAGTAGTTTACAAGATCTCCGCAACGCCAACTATAGAAAAGTAATTTTGAAAAAATCGCGTTTAAATTTTTGCTTTGCAATATTTCGTGTTTAAAGTGCAAAATATCAAATTTACATTAACTCCGCAATTTCTGCACCATATAACTAACCCTCTAAGTTAATATTCGCCTCTTCTTTCTCGTTTTAAACGATCTCCGTGCGTCTTTGGCGGCATCGACCGCTCAACAGCCTTCATGTATCGAGCGTCTGGATTGGTAAAAAATTGTAACAATTGTGACTAATGGGGATGGTCGGGTTTAATATTTGCATAATTTTTATTATGCTCATCAATCCATCATTAAAATTGCGAACAGTAATATTTGTTACTACATCTATGAGAATTTTACTCGAAGATATTTTCAGTGCTATTGACTACACAACAGCAGTAAAACTGTCGATATTGTTTTGCTTTCTTGATAACGTTTTAATAAAAAATGCCGATGTATTTGTTGATTTTGTTTTTATTACTTTTAGAATTTATTAGGTAAGCAAAAAAGTTCACAAAATTCAATCTTTATTCAAAAACAAACAAAAAAATTATTAATCAGCAAAATATTCCCCGTTTGCATTAATGACCGTTTGCCATCTTTCGGGTAGCCTGGGAATTCCTTGAAGATAGAAACTCACCGGCTTCGAAGCGATAAAGTCATCAATGCATTTTAGTATCTCTTCAATTCTCACAAAATGTATCAGCCAAGTAATGCTGTAGCGATCGGAATAGTAAACGGAAGGCGCCATGTTATACTCACGTGCTAAGTTGGTATTATGGCTGGGCTATACGCCGCGTGCGAGAGAAGTTCTCAGCCTAACGCAAAGATATAGTCCAGAGTCGCTTTCGCAACATGTGATCGGGCATTGTCATGAAGAAAGATCACTTTAAAGATTCCTTGACTAATAAATGACCTCTTCTTTTTAACGCATAGCTCAAATTGGTCAATTGTTGATGGCAGCGATCTGTCGTAATTGTTTCACCCGGTTATAACAACTCGTAGTAGAGCACACCTTTCCAATCCCACCAAATGCAGAGCATAACCTTCTTGGCATGGATATTGGGCTTTAGCGTCGATATCGAAGGTTGATCAGGGTCAACCGATAATTTGTTACGCTAAGGTTATCATAAAGAATCCACTTTTCATCGCCTGTAATGCTTTTGTGCAGAAAATGTTTTTTCCGGGATTGTGAAAGCAAAGTGAATGCAGTGTCACGTCGTCGATTTTTGCCTTTGGACAGTTTATACGGAACCCGTCTGTCTTCCTCCTAAACCTTTCTCATTGTATGTAAACGTACAAAAATGGTTTGCCGCGTAACGCTAAGCTATTCTGCAATCTTCATTTCAATTTGCGAAGAGTGTATATCTTGCAATGCTTGCAATTCATCCGTTTCAATCTTTTGAGGGCGTCCAACGCGATTCATCTTCAAGACTGGAATCTCCTTGGCAAAATTGTTGATACCATCTTGTACACGCAGCATGTTTTACAGTGTTCTCTCCATATGCAGCATAAATTATTTCAGTGGTTTCAGTAGCATTTTTCTTCAGATGAAACACGAAGAGGATGGAAAATTGAATATACTCTTTTGTTATTGCCATCGTAAACACTACTGGTTTTTGAGGTTATGTGAATAAAACGCTAAACCGCATGGCATTTTGAAAGCCAAATGTCAACGCATTGAAACCGCAAAAGGGCGGGAAGATAGGTAACATTTAAATTGTTGTTTCGGTTGAATAAAATCTAAAGCTCAAAACTTTTTTGCTCACTTAATAACTGCGCCGAGCCTTTCGGAGCCATTCGATGGCGTTGCAGCGCGCTTTACTAAACTGGTTTAAAAGTTGTGAAAAAGTTGTAATCTTTATTTAAACTAGTATAATCTTCCAATTGTCTTACTTCCGGAGATATGCCGCGTCTTAAACTAGCATTCTACCAACGTTTCGCATACATTGCAGTCAGGGTTGGAGCTTTGATATCGAGCCTTCTTACATATTGGTTGTCCTTACATACTCCTTTATCTTTGGAAGGGATGGAAAGGGAGGGCAGCAGTTGGTTTCAGCCAATCAGCGTGTTTTTTACTGATTCCCTGGTAAATTAAAAAACTGGGAGGGCAGTATGCCAAATAGGGTTCATCTGCACATCTTTATATCGGTTGAGGTTATGGGGTTGTTTCAAAATGTCTAGGCCTTCACGATGTTTTCTAACAAAATAGCTTTGGTGACAAAGCTAATATCTTAGCCTCGTCGTTTTGTACGAAGTGTCCAGTCTCCATCAAGTGTTCTGCTAAAGCTGATTGAGAAAAGTGACCATATTTGGTGTATTGTTCATGTTCCTTGATCCGTGTACTGATCTTCCTCCCGGTTTCTCCTATATACACTTTTCCGCAAAAACAAGAGATCTTATATAACCCGGTGTTTCCAGGCATGGTCTTTGATCTTTAGGGTTAGAGAGTAATTGTGAGATCTTCCTCTGAGGTTTGAAAATTCCTTTAATGTCGTGCTTATTCAGAATCTTGCCTATTATTTCTGTTGTTTCTTGAAGATAGAACGGAAGGAAGAACGGCCGTCTTTTTTATCATTTTCCTCATCTTCTGTTTCAGTGTTTTCGGTACCAGTTCTTTAGTTTTCGGGATATTTGGTTGATTTGTTTGCTGTTGTATCCATTCCTTATCAACACATTGCATGCGGAAATCGTACTTTTACGTATTTTGCAGTCTGTTACTAGAGTGCGGATTATGTAAAATACGTATTTAAAAGATTTCTGCTGGAGAGTGGGTATCGTATAAATTCGTTGGTCATTGTGTGTACGGTGTTTGTGTTTGTGTTGCTAGGCAACGATTTCCATGGTTTCTTTTTAGAAGTTTAGCTTGTCGAATTACTTGGTTTAATAGCTTTAGAACGTACAAGTCGTGTTTTGTAAATTTGAGGCATGTTTTTTTATTATTGATTACAACATTGATAAAATGAGCCATTGTGACGAAAATAGTGATCAAGAAATATGTGCTGATGCATTATCGGATTTTTCGTATGATAATAATTCCGAAAGTCAAGATAACAAAAAAAGCAACAATGATGATATTATTCCACGTTCTCGAATGTTCACTCGAAGAACTTTTCTAGTAGTTCTGAAACAAGTTCTGATGAAGAAGCAGATGAATGGTTATCGATTGACAATTCTCCAGTCCTTGAAGAATTTTTTGGTCATCCTGGGATAACTGATATTACTAATGTTCCTTAATCTACTGTTGATGCAGCAAAGTTATTTATAGGTGACGACTTTTTTACATATTTAGTCACGGAATCAAACAGATATTATTATCAAAATATCGATAAGTTTAAAATATTTTGCAAAAATATGAAATGGAAAGATATTACGATTCCGGAGATAAAGAAATTTTTAGTGCTCATTATTTTCAAAGGACAAGTTCGTAAAGATACATGAGACGATTGTTGGTCAACTGTTTCCTGCACAGATACGCCGTTTTTTTTTCAATAACTATGTCAAGGAATAGGTTCTGGCTTATATATAAGGCATGGCATTACAATAATAATCAAGACATCACAGCCGAATCTGATCGATTATTCAAAGTCAGGCCTGTAATAAATTATTTTGTTGAAAAATTTAATAACATTTATAAACCAAAGCAACAAGTATCGTTAGATGAGGACATAATACCTTGAAAAGGACGATTACTTTTTAGAGTTTACAATGGATAACTTGTAAACTACATATTCATACGAATGTTATTTGAGAGTAACACAGGATAAATTTGCAATTTTTAAGTTTATGCAGCTCAAGGATTATGATTGATCGAAACGATACACACAGTAGTTTCGCAAAATACTAATATCAGACACCATTTGTATATGAATAATTACAACAATAGCATCGATAACACGGAAGCACTTTTACAAAAAAAATACGAATTTACGGAACCATTAGGAAAAATAGAGGTTTACCAGACTGTCTGAAAAAATTAATTTAAAAAGAGGAGAAACAATCTTTCGTAGAAAAAAAGATATATTGATACAAGTTTTGCAATCGAAGAAAGAAGTTAGTCTCGTCCCTTCAATATATTTGGCGGAAATGAAAGTAAGCCATAACATTAACCATACAACGAAATAAAAAATTTTAAAGCCAAATACTTTGAGCGACTACAACAAGTACATGAAAGGAATAGATTGGGCCAACCAGTATTTGTTCTACTATAGCATTTTACGTAAAACGGTAAAGTGGACAAAGCGCTTAGCTATGAATATGGTGAATTGTGCACTTTTTAATTCATATGTAGTGTATCACTCTAGAAAGTCGCAAAAAATCAAATATTAAAAATTTTTGTATAATATCGCATTGTATTGGGTTATTGACTCTCCTGGCAGACTATCCATAAATATGCGCACACGTGTACTAGAGAAAATTGTTGGTGCCGGGAAAAAAAAAATTCACAGAGACCATGTCGTGCGTG